TTTGTCTTGAGATTGTTGAGTTCAGCCTGTTGCTCATCCAACTTCTTCTGCTTATCCTTGACATCGTCATTGAGCTTGTTGAGCTGGAGCGTGTTTTGTTCCGTCGAGCTGGTTGCGGCGCCCTCTTTTCTCTTCAGCTCATCCTTCTTTTCCTTGAGGCTTTTCTCTAGTTGGGCGATCTTGGCGTCGTACTCTGTAGTGGTGGTGTTGAGGCTTGCCTGTGACGCCTTGAGCTCATTTTGGGCTTTCAACAACTGGGCCATCTTTTCGTTGATTTGTACGTTGAAGTCTTCGATCCTAGTCTTTTGCTGTCCTTTAAGGTCACTGAGCTCTTCAAGCTTGTCCTGCAAGGAATTGGACTTGTCGGCGACATCTTTTCTCAACTCGGCAATCTGGGCTTCGTTCAGCTTTTTGAGCTCATTGAATTCGGCCTCCTTGGAGCTCAACTTGGAGGACTTGTCATCGACCTTCCCCTGGAGAGTTGCAACCTCACCCTCGAGGAGAGCTTTCTTTTTATCGAATTCTGCCCTATCTTGCTTGAGTTCAGCCTTCAAGTCATTGATACGGTGTTCAAGGTTCCTGATCTTTTCGTTGTGTCCCGCCGTCAACTTCTTGATTTCGTCTTGATGGTGAACTTTAAGGTCGTTGACTTCGCCTTGATGTTTGGTCCTGAGCTCCGAAAGATTGCCCTCATAATCAGCTGTGACCTTGGCGACTTCCAATTTGAGTTTTGCTTGCAACTCATCAACCTTGACCCCGTGATCCGCTTTGAGCTTGTCAAGCTGAGCTTTGCTTGCCGATAGCTGCTCTTTGTACTCTGCTAGCGCAGTCTTCTTGTCTGCGAGCTCCGCCGACAGGGCCTGAACACGTTCCTGGTATTGGGTTGCAAGCTTCTCTTTTTCGTTGTACCGATCTGTAAGGCTTTCCATCTCGGTTTTGTGCTGGACCGCGAGCTGCTGCTTTTCCTGTTCATACTTCGCTTTGAAGTTGGCGAGTTCGTTTTCGTGTTGCTTTAGCTTGATAGCGTCCTGGCTGGTATTGTTGCGGGAGAGTTCGTCCAGGTCCTTCTTATACTTCTCTTTGATCGTTGCGATTTCACTTTCCAACTCTCCCACTCGAGATTGGTGCTGTTTGCGAAGGCTCTCAGTCTCTTGGAGGTGGCGGTTCTTAAGCTGATCCATGTCGACTTGCTTGGTGGACTTGAGGGTAGCGATCTCAACGTCTTTCTTCTGTGTGAGCTCCTTGATCTCCTTCTCTTTCTTGGACTTGAGCTCCGCAAGATCTTTCTCCTTCTGCGCCATCAATTTCTTCTGAGCTTCAATATCCTTCGTGAGCTTCGCCTTCTCAGCGGCGTAATCGGCTTGAAGCCTGTTCCTCTCACTTTCATTCTGCTGCCTGAGTGTGTCTAACTTCTGCAGGAGGTTGGTTTCTTTCAAGTCGCCGTCCTTTCTGAGCTGCGTCAGCTCGTTTTGGTGTTTGACTTTCAGCTCTGCAGCAGCTTTTTTGTGGCCAGCATTGAGATTTTTGATTTGCTCTTCGTAGCTTTCCTTGAGCATTTCTCTTTCTTGCTGCTTGTTTGCCAATGAGGTTTTCTTCTCAGTGATCTCCTGCTTCAACCTCTTGATCTCGTCTTTATGAACCTTGACCTCCTTCTCAAGGCTTTCCTTTTCGCCTTCGTATTTGTCAATGATGCTCTGCAACCGCGCGTTTTTTTCGCGGTCCTCATTGCCCTTTCTCAGAGCCTCATTCAACTCATTATGCAAAGTCTGAAGCATCTCCTTGTCCTTCTCATCAAAGACAGGCTCCTTCAAGACACGATTGAGAAGGCCGATGCATTCACGAATGACATCCTCACTGGCATCCAAGTCCTTGTGTCCCTGCGCATCCTTCAACTTGGCAACCAGTCCTTGGACGAAGTCGCGTGCAGTCAGCGGTAGTTGAGGTTTTTGCTCCTTCATGAGTTGTTCGACGCGAGTGATGCTTTCAGCAATGTTGGGTTCCGGTTTGATCTCGACGATTGTTGGTGCAGCGGAATTCTTCCTGGCCAAGTCAAGCTCCTTCTTGAGGCTGCTGATCTCTTCCTCCAGGACTCTTTTCGTCTTGGACCACTCATTTCTTTGAGTCTCCAAATCCATCTTTTGCGACGCCGTATTCTTGAGGGTCGCCTCCACCTTTTCAAGCCTTGCCTTCGTCTGAGAAAGCTGCTGCTGCAAGACCTCCTTTTCGGCTTGCACACGCTGTCGCTGGTCTTCCAAAGACTTGTTCTCCAATCGCAAAGACTGAATATCCTTCAGATCGGCGCCGGCGCTGGCCTTACCCGCCAATTTTTGCTTGAGGTCCAGAACCTGTTGGTTCAAGCTTTTGATATCCCCTTCCTGACGTTGTTGTAGATCGACCAGAGAATCCCTCTCCACCTGCATAAGCTTCATGTCCTTGAGCGCCACATTGGCTTCTTCGATCGATTTGTTGAGATTAGTGATTTGCTGGTTCAGGGCATTCTTTTCAGACTCCCAGCGGTCTTGTTGGTCTTTCAACGACTTCTGGTCGAGGGCAAGTGACGCCGATGGATCCTCGGTCGGCTCAAGCCATCCCTTTTTCTTGAGTTTCTGGTAAAACGTGTCGGCCTTTCTTTTTTGCTCATCTCTCTGTTCTTTAAGCTTGTTGTTTTCAGTCGTGAGCTTCTGGATTGTTTCACTGCGGGATCGTGTGGCGGATTCCTTGGCCGCTGCTTCTGCCTTGTCCTTGGCTTCTTCGGTTTGAACAAGTCGTTGCTCGGTGTCTTCGTACAGGTTCAATATGTTATCGAAGACATCAAGGATTGTTGCGCCTATGTCATTAGGGTCGGCGCCGCCTTTGATAGGAACGCCAAGCGCTGCCGCGGTATCCATGATATCGTTCAGCGTTCGGTTTAAGGATTCCGACATCTGTTCGGCCTGCTCGGTTTTGCGAGTAGCTTCTTCCTGCAAGCGAGATAGAGAATCCTCCTTCTTTTTGAGATCGGTTTGCACTTGCCGCCAATGTTCGATGTCGTCCTCCCTTTGTTGCTCTGCAAATTGGAGTTCGTTGATTCTCTCCTCCAGGCCTTTGATCTTGGCCTCGGACGTGTGTGTGGCCAAGGCTACCGCTGCAAGGCGTTGCCTGTCCGCGTCTTGCTTGAATTCTCGGAGTTTCTGCAGCTCATGTTGGTCCATAGATCTCAACTTCTTCTCCTCCATCAAATGTTGATACGTATCAAACTCTGATTTCTCTTGATCCTGCAGCCTCTTTTCGGCCTGGGCGAGATATGTTTCCACCTCTTCCTTGGCCAGCTTGTCATCATCCACCTTGATCTGCAGGGCACGGAATTCCCGGAGTAGCCGCATCTTTGTTTTGCTTGCCTGGTCGTAATACTCCAGCAGGGTATTGAAAGCCTTGCGGATCGCAGGGTCTCCTGCTTTTTCGATGTACGTCCTCAACATACTGTGCCTATCGACCTTATCATCCAGCACGGCTATGGCGTGGTCCTTGTACTGCGATAACTGGGCGACCATGAACCGTGTATCACGCAACGTTCCCTCGTCGTATGGTTTGTATTTCAGTGGTTTGGTGGGGTCCGTTTTCCCTTCATTGTCGTCCCGCAACCGGTCGTACTCCTCGATAGCGGCTTCATTATCCGCCCTATGTCCCTCTTGACTTGTGAAGGGGCTGAATGTAAAAGGGTTGTTCATGTCTCGGTAGCGCCCCACTTCGTGTTTATTTTTGACACGAACAGGCTGGCCAGACTCGTCGATGTCTGAAGTGTTTGCGATATCTTCTTTTTCCTCGTCTGACTCGTATGCCTTCTTGATCTCCCTAATGACTCTCCTAGCGCCGGTACCGTCACCAACATACCGTTCGTGGAGCAACTTGGGCTTCTCTTTTTCCGCGTCCTTCTCACTTTCCCAGTCACTCACGTAGTCATCTTCCAGCGATGTCACGTCCTCGCTGACCTTAACATCTGCACTATCCCCGGCTTTCACTCTCACACCCGTGTCACCCCCATTGCTCTCATCTTCCACAACGTCATCCCAACCAGAGCCCGACTGGAAGTAAGATCTTTGCGCAGGGGGATTGTATTTAGTTTTGCCCTGGGCTGCGATGCGAGAAGCCTCCTTTGCCTCTTGCATCCTTCGGAAAATATAGGCCCCGGTATCCTCCTCCTCTGGCATTTGCTTCTCTTTCGGCTTTGAACCACCAGCTGAAGCTGCAGGCGTCTGTGAAGTCGGGGCCGCAGTAGGAGCTAAGGCTGGGGCCGTATATGAAACCGTAGTCGGAACGGTAGTTGAGGCCGAAGGTGGAACTATACGCCGACCAGCAGCTGGAGCCGGGGCCGGAAGCCGGGTCGCCGCCGGAGCTGGAGGCCGGGTCACCGCCGGAGCTGGAAGCCGGGTCGCAGCCGGTCCAGATACTGGAGCCGAAGCCGGAGCCGGAGCCAGAGCCGGAGCTGGAAGACGGGTCACAGCCGGTCCAGATACTGGAGATGTCATAGGGCTTTCCGGTTCGCTCATATCCATACGTAGGGACTGTCGTGCTTTGCTCTTCCGGAGCTTCGGCGTTGAAGAACGGGCCGGATCGTTAAGAAACTGGCCCGGGGTGTTAGGTGACCCACCTCCGGGGCCAGTCCCATCCGAAGGGTAGGACATCTTGCAAATTCACTCCTGACTGTTAGCGGACGTCTTGCAATACGAACCTTGAGTATCTTGGTGTTGCTATTTTGCTCGATGTTTGGTGCTGCAAATGTGTTGAGATGAGCAATATTGATGGTACCGACACCGACTGGGAGTTTTCGTCGGCCCAAAAGGACTGCTGGCATAAAGAAGTCTTGCTGCCACCTGTTCCTGATAGCCGGTTATGGTGGCATGCGCATGCTCAAAGGAAGCCATTCAACCTGGCCGGAAGCGGGTAAGTTAAGCATATCAATCACACTCGAAAAACTGGCATTGACAAAGACTCGACGGGTCAGTTGCCGCTTAGTCGGCTTTGAAGAATCGAACGTGGGCGAGAGCACTGACAAAGAAACGGCACGCCCGTCGTTGATTTAGGCGGCCATTTGGGGCTCAATTCTCTTTGGTGTCACAGCCTAGATGAATCCATTCAAGCCTCGAGGCCTTCCCGTATTGCTACATTTTCGAAGTGGGCTGTTACTGAATGATCCCAGACCTTTGTCCGCGAATCTGAAGCTTCTCATCCTTAACAGCAGACACACTGTGCAGCTCGCTGCTGCTTCTAGTTCTGCCCCTGCTGTGATAAGGTTGCCAAACATGGCTGAGGTCCGCACGGCGCGGTACACTCCGTAACTTACTTACAATCCTCGTGAATATCTCGATCAATCGCCATTATTGGGTACAGGTAGACAAAGACACGGCTTAGGGACGATGGCTTTGGGTGAACAACATACCGCAGGAGGTGTTGGGACACTCCTTCCTCACCTCCACAAATCCAACATAGCCAATAGTCTCTTTTAGCTATACCATCCTTGCGCCCCTGGGCCTTGCTGGCTTTCCTCCTCTCGGTGATCAATCATGGGTTCTTTGATGTTGTAAGCGTCTATGATGTCTTTCCAGATATCCATATCGATCGACATGATAGCCTGATGTCTAGTAGTGCCGTGTCTTCCTTGAGCCTTTTCGTGCTCGTCTGCGTGGACATGGGCGGCTATTTTCACGTGGGTTAGTGGAGGCGGCGCAGGAAACAATCAAGAGAAACATACATAGAGATGGACGACCATATGAGTCAAACTCCAGTTTGAGGCCCCCTTCTCGTAGCAGAAAGCTCACGTAGAACATGTTTTCAACGGTTTGACCGAATGAGCGGGGATTAATGACGAAGCGTAGAAGGTCAATGCCTCCTGAGGAATGCAGCGCGTATTTCTCCATGATGAGGAATTCTTGCTCGGGATCGTCCACCTCACCGTTATTGAGGAGGGATTCCACGGCATCTTGCGCAGCATTCTGTTTGTTCTCCAGTTGCTCCAGAATGTTCTTACAAATGGATGGAAGGTCGTTCTTATCGGACTTTTTCAAGTCCTCGGCCCTCAACTCCTGCGGTCTCACCTCGATAAGGCTGTTGATCTTGAAGGGAGCGTTGCGCTGCGTCATTCTTCGGACTTTCTTTTCGATGGACAGAGGGCCCGAGAGGAAGCCAGGCAGAGCTGGTCTGCGTACGCTGGGAACGGCAGCATAACGGCCCAGGTGTGGCCAGTTCAACATATCGCCTTCGTCCCCCATATCCTCCTCATCTTCAGTATCGGCAGCAGCACGGCCAGGCCGTCGTCTCCTGTGACGTTGTGTGCTGGTAAGTTCCGGGGCGTCGTCGTCCTCGAAGCCGCGGCCATGACGCATATAGGTGATGCATTTTGAGACAAATTCGTCGACATCAATGCCATTGCCAATGTTGCCCGATGTTAGCCGTTGGACCCTGCGAGCGGACAAGTCGGCAGCGAAGACTAGACCGCGAGAATCAATGGTGGCCTCGTTGGTCTGCTTCACATCGCGCATAATAGTGTCTGACTGGTCGAAATAGTTGATCAAGGCGTCCGAGGACTTGTCCTGCATGAACTGGTCGGGGTTCTCTCTCATTTCCCTCTGCATATCTCGCAGCTTCCTCTGGATCTGCCGCCGCTCCTGCATGGACTGGGCAGGATCATACTCGTCCAGGTCGCCGTTTGCATCCGGGTTGGGCGGCGATGGGTCCCTGATACGCCGCCTTGTTGCCGAGGGGCCTTCATGGCTGTCTGAGACCCGTTTGCCCTTGTTCCTCACCTCCAGGTTTCTGGCTCGCGGAGGGGAGGCATCGTAAATATCCTCGTCGGACATGGGTGTGTTTGCGGGATACGGGGTGACCGGTGTGTTTTGGTAGGTACAAAGTGTACAGATAAGCCGACAAAGCACCAATGATCCTCGGTCGATAGGTCCTTGGGCCTATCCAATGTCAAAATGAATATCAACAGACCTCGGTCGTGTGAGGAATGGTTGTCGTCGGGCGAAAAGAGATGATGGTAGTAGACAGCAAGCCCAGGATTTCGTTGTCGGGGCCTCGACTGTGGTTGAAGACGGAAGATCGGGTACACAAACACAACTGAATTCTTCCCGACTTGAACGGAAACCCGAGCACTAGGTAGAGGTAAAAGACAGTGAAAGCGTGGAAAATAGAGAGTGGAAGCAAGCAAAGAAGGATGGAAGAGGAGACGCGTCCTCCAAAGAGAAAGACGCGATTTACAGTGAGTGGGAGCAAAGCCGGAGTGGACCCCGCCGAAAGAAAAAGGTGGATCCCCTTCTGGCCGATTCGCGGGGTGGAGCTGCCAGGGCCCGGGGAACCTTGTTAGCCGCTGTAACTGCGGTTCCTACTATGATACCTACGTTCCATGTGACACCTGCCAGCCCTATAGGCGGCGGGGTCATAGGTAGTGGGTGAAATGACCTGTACACCAGGTAGATAGACTAGAGGTACACTCATCCCGTCGTACAACATATCACATTCATCTTCTCAAAGACTTCAGCCTGACTCCTCATTCCATTTCTTTACACCTCTCTACCTACACATCCCATAACGTGCTTCATCTTCGGTTCCGGGGACGGTCACTCCCCGAAGTATCTGCAACCATGCCCATCATGGAGCCCTTTTCGTTTGCGAGCTCCGACCAGCTCAACTATCCCGTCTCGATTCGCATCATGAGTCTTGAGGGAGAAGAGACGCCCATCCCGTTCAGCACTCTCCTTGAGAGGCCAGACCTGCGACATGTTGGCTCTAACCAAAGGTACACCCACCTCTTTCTTGTTGTCCGAGAAGATGGCCACTGAATCAACTCTCATAGTCCCCACTCGGACCTCTATGTCACCGTCCAGGTCTGGGCCGGATCCAAGCCTCTGACTGTTCCCGTCCAAACACCCTACAAGTGGTTCCGGAATGAGCGCAAATGGTCCGAGTGGTTAACCCTGCCCATCGACTACTCTACTCTCCCCGAAAATGCCCGTCTGGCCATCACCCTCTGGGACCTCTCTCCAACCGGAGGCGAAGGCGCTCATGGTCATGCCATTCCCTTTGGTGGCACCACACTGCCCTTGTTCGATAAAGACAACCAACTGTACAAGGGCCGTCAACAGTGTTTTGTGTACCGACACAAACAAGCAGATGGCAATGATGATACCGGAACTCCTGCTTTCATACCCAGAAGGTCCGGTGTGGGCTCCAGCAAAAAGGGAACTCCCTCATCCATTGTGGACAACGATGCCGAAGAGTACGACCGCTTGATGGACCTTCTCAAGAAACACGAGATGGGAGAGATACCCCGTGTCGACTGGCTCGACCAACTGGCCTTCAGGGTAATCGAAAAGCGCGGATATGGTTCGGCCAAATCTTCCCTCAGGCTCAAGGCTATTCAGCGTCAACAGGAAGCTCTCGCCAGTGCCAACCCCGATGCCTCCAAACCAATCCCAGTGCCGTCCGACTTTCTGTTGACTGTCGAGCTGCCCAGATTTGACTTCCCCGTTGTCTTTGCAGATCACGAGTATCCACCTCCACCCATCTCGTCGCTCCAGCATCTATCGTCTTCACAGTCGGGTCTCATGGTGAAGCCCACACCAGATATTCAGCTTGGGCCGGGAATCAGCCGCATAGATGCCGACGATGAAACCTCCGCAGGCCGCTTGATCCGAGTTTACGATCCGGAGGTAGGCGCAAGGGACAACCCAGCCGAGAGCAAGCACCGAAGACTTGTCCGCAGTCAGCATCGCAACGGTATTCTGGATAAAGACCTGAAACCAAACGCTAAAGTCAGAGATGAACTCAACCAGATCATGTCCTACCCGCCAACCCACAGTCTGTCGCCTGAAGAGAAGGACCTCATCTGGAAATTCCGATACCACTTAACTAGATACAAAAAGGCTCTCACCAAGTTTGTCAAGTCAGTCAACTGGCTCGACGCGTCAGAAGCAAGGTCGGCTGTGGTAGTTCTCGAAAAGTGGACTGATATCGACGTGGACGATGCGCTGGAGTTGCTGGGCCCGACGTTCAGCAACTCGGCCGTAAGAGCCTTCGCAGTGAAACGTTTACGGAAAGCAGACGATAACGAGCTGCTGCTGTATCTTTTGCAGCTGGTTCAGGCGCTCAAGTACGAGCACATATTGCCACAGTCCCGTCAAGACGTCTCCCAGGATAGTTCCCTGGCCAGTTTCTTGATAACGAGGGCCGTGTCAAGTCTGACGCTCGGCAACTATTTCTACTGGTATGTTATGGTCGAAATCGACGACAGGAGCTCCGAGCAAGGACAAGATGCCAGGGAAATCTACACCAAGGTTGCATACGATTTCATGGCCGAGCTTGACAAGCAGCCGGGGGGCCAGGAGAAGAGAAGAACATACAAACGACAGGCCGAGTGGATCCGTATCCTTTCTCAAGTCTCAGGAGAAGTCAAGGAGGCCAACGAGTCTATCGCCAGAAGAACCGACCGGGTCAAGCACTTCTTGGCCGATTCCAAGAACGAGCTGGTCACCCTCGACCCGCCGCTCCCACTCCCACTGGACCCTTCGGTCATGATCACGGGCGCAATCCCGGAGGAGACCATCGTCTTCAAATCCTCCCTCCATCCCATCAAGGTGGCCTTCAAAACCACCTCTGGAACCAAGTACCCCCTCATTTTCAAAACAGGCGACGATCTCCGCCAAGACCAGCTCGTCATCCAAATCATCATGCTCATGGACGACCTCCTACAAAAGGAGAACCTCGACCTCAAGCTCTCGCCCTACAAGATTCTCGCTACCAGCACCAGCGCCGGCCTCTCGCAGTTCGTCCCGTCCATGTCCTTCCAGGGCATCCTCAACAAATACGGCAACAACGCCGCGCTCGCCTACCTCAAGCAAAATAATCCCGACAGCAACGGCCCGCTGGGCCTGCGCAAGGAAACGCTCGACACCTTTGTCAGGTCGTGCGCCGGCTACTGCGTCATCACGTACATTCTGGGCGTCGGCGACCGCCACTTGGACAACCTCCTCTTGGCCCCCGACGGGCACTTCTTCCATGCCGATTTCGGGTACATCCTCGGCCGCGACCCGAAGCCGTTTGCCCCCGTGATGAAGCTATCGAAAGAGATGGTGGACTGCATGGGCGGGGTCAACTCGGAGCACTATCGCCAGTTCAAGCAGTACTGCTTCTTGGCGTATAGTGCCCTCCGAAAAAACAGCAATTTGATTCTGAATCTCTTTAGTCTGATGGTGGATGCCAACATTCCGGATATCAAGCTGGAGCCGGATAAGGCAGTGTTCAAGGTTAGGGACAGGTTTCACTTGGAGCTGAGCGAGGAGGAGGCGATTAGGAATTTGGAGAAGATTATGGAGGATAGTTTGAATGCGCTGGTGCCGGTTATGATTGATCGGTTGCATGGAGTCATGCAGGCTTTCCGGACGTAGTGGGAGGAGGATATTTGTGTGGAGGATTGGTTAGCGATGTGTTTTGTTTTGCACATAGTCATAGACTGGAGTCAGCGTTATGAGGTAACATGAAGCATTCACATCATGATGTCCACCCATAGATCTACCTCTACATACCGTGATTATGCACACACACACTCCCCCTCAATCGTCATCACTACTCATGTCTCACCAAAGACAAAGACACCCTTACCACTCCTGAATCCTTCAAGGGTACCCTGCACCGCATCCTTCAACACCTTCTCCTCCGTATCCCAAGACCAGGTAACCTCCTGCGCCGGCGCAGCCTTAAACTTGCCCTCGCGCATCAGCTCCAAAATCTCATTAATCATCCTCTTCTTTTCCTCCGGGTTCTCCTCGGCCCACGCACTCAACCAGAATCCTTCAAACCTCAACCTCTTGAAGATCTGCGGCCCCGTAGGGAACGGGAAACTCTGCCTGCTCATGCCACCATATGTAACCATCACACCCTTGGGACTCAGACTCCTGACAATCTGCGCCGCATTCTTTCCGCCGACACAGTTCAACCCCAACATCAACGGATCCTTTCCGCCATTCGTCCACTCGTCCTTCAGCCTCTGCGTGAAGCTGCGATCCAAAAACTCATTCTCGGTCACCACCACCGTAGCGCCCAACTCCTTCAATTCCTTCTTCAACTCCTCCGTCTCCTCGGGCGTGTTTCTTTCCCTCACCACATTGATACTCCTCAGCCCCCAAAGCTTACCAAATTGAATCGCCGACCGGCCCACTCCGCTGTTGGCTCCATTCTGCAAGAACCACGCTCCCCCACTCGCCGTCCCCTTGGCAAACCCATCCACGCTCAACTGGATCAAGTCCACATAATCCTTCAACATCCGATACGCCGAGCACGGGTTGACGCTCACCGTCGCCACTTGCAAGGGCGTCAACCCTTCCTTGCCCTTGTCCCCTCCCACCTTCATCAGCTTCTTGTCCGCATCCTCCACCAGCGCGTGCGTCCTCAGCGTGCCGAACCCGGTCGTCGCCGGGATCACCCAGTCGCCCTTCTTCAGCCCCCGCACCCCGTTTCCTACGCTCACAACCTCAAAACACCCCTCGTTCCCCGGAATCACCGACGGCTCCGAGGTCCCCAGCAGCGGAGAGAATTTGGGTTTGACGCCATAGGTTCCCTGGATGGTGTTCACGTCGGCGGGGTTGACGGGGCAGGCGAGCGCCCGGATGAGCACGGAGCCGTCGGGGAGAGAAGGGGAGATGGAGTGTTGGTGGACCGACAAAACGTCGGCGGGCTCGCCGAAGCGCGAGAAGACGAGTGCTTTGGCTTGGGTGTACCCGTAGGGACCGGATTTGTGGCGGCGGAAGATGAGCCCGGAGGCGGCGGTCGGGGCGGCGGCTGCGGCGGCAGCGGTGCGGAGGACGAAGGGGGTGGTGGTGGTGGTGGTGCGAAGGCCGTGGCCGTAACCGGAGAATCGGCCGGTGGCGGCGGCGGCCCTGGCGACAGGGGTGAGGGTGGTCTTCATTTCGCTTTTTGGACTGTGACTTTGTCGTTACTTTTGTTTCGTGGAGCTAGGTTGAAGTTGGTAGTCTGTGTGTACACTAGTCTCGCGTCTGTTTCGAGGTTTTGGCGAGATTAGTGTTTGGGTTCTCTTGGCTTTTGTGGTGGTTCGGAATTTTAGAATTGGGAATGGGGGATTGGGGGAATGGAGATTGCAAATCGCTTACCGACCTGGCTTCAGAGCTGGCACCGACCCAGTCTAGTCTAGGTAGTCAATGCGAAGGGCGTTTGGGTTGTTCAGTTGTTGTTGTTGTAGGAGAACCGAGAGGAACTGAGGGGACGACGCAACGTGGAAATTGAGAAAAGGTGCGGGGACGGACGTAGTGAGATGATCGACGGCCGCAATGATGGAGAAAATGGAGACGGACCACGTCCACAGCTTGCGCTTCCCGTCACAAGCACACCATGGAGCTGGCAAGGACAGATAGACTACTACATCAAGACGGAAGGTAGCTTTGAGATCACAAAGGCCAAATTTGTATTTCGTCTTGCAAGTAATTGTCACCAGCTCTTCACAATCTCTCCTCAACCGACATCTACCGTACCTATCTCTCAATTCCATCCATCTTCCATCCCGTTTAGCTTCGGCAGTCATCAATCACATGATATCAAGCAACAACAGCCGTGCTTCCATCCATCTGACCCGACCTCACCCGCCGGGCCTCCAGTGCAGCTCCATCCAGGTCAGGTCAGGTCCCGTCCCGTCGCGGAGCTCTTATCGATTACAAAGTTCCACTCGGTCTGATGGAACCCCGATTCTTGTGGAATTGGCGATGACGTCTAGTCTTGGCATTGAAAAAGGTACGTACACTACACCAGAGGTACCCTTCAAGATACATAGCAAGGAGCTTTGACCATCATCACGTCTTATGTTCTTCTCCACTCGTTTGGCCAAGGCCAGGCCAATCTTGAAAGTCGCAAGGGTATCCCTAACCCTCCAACTGCTTGCGAATCTGCGAAGGGTCCGAAGCAAATCAAGCCCCCAAAAAGCGCCTCTTTTGCTGCAAGGAAACCGTTTCGAAATATGAGTGGAATTTGGACGGCAGCTTACGCAGTATGTGTATCGTATTGGATAGGACACCTTCCGGAATGGGCGGGGATGCGGAATATGGCCTTGGGGCTACTGTGTAAGTATATGGCGTTGCCAAGTGTCTGGAGTGAACTGGTGGTTCACTTCAGCTTTCAGCCTCGACTTCCCTGGTCATATACCCTGGACTTGAGACCGTGGAAAGTGAATCAAGCTGAACAGAAGATTCCAGAGCTGGTGAAAGACTTTTCAACTGACAGAGGAAATTATCCGCGCCAGCCGAGTTCAAGGACTGGAGTATTGTTGTCGGTGACACGATGTTTAATGTGCTGCAAGTATACACGGTTTGGAAGGGGTCCAAGCGTGTGAGTGATGCTACCTCGCACGAACAGGGCTCCGAATCTACCAATGTAGACTGTACAATTTATTGTTATGTTAGTGATGAAGAGAAATGGCCTGGTATATCGGCAAACGTAACGGTAATATGCAAAGCATTGACAGTTCGATCACACTCTGTAATATCATTTGAATACTTAGCTATATGTGACTTCGCTCGAGGTATTCTCTCTTACCACCATCACGTTTTGTGTTCGAATACCTTCCCCAATATCTATCGTCAACTTCAATGCAACCCCGTGACGTCTCAAATTGGTGTTATTGAAAATAACAACTGCTTGTAGATGTAAAAGGAAGACCCCTTTGGTCTTCTCTTCGGCGATATGATTTGTACATGTTGGAGCAGCCCCTCTGCCCTGTACTCAAGAAACAGATTTTTTTGAAAAGAAAACAAAACAAAAGAAAATGTTTCATCATGCATGTGAAGATGGGAAATCCCGAACAATGACCCGGTTGAAAGAAGTGAAAAAGGAAACAAACAGACAAAACAAAAGAGTTGGGTATCTCTGGAACCTCCGCCACATCCACCGTCTCAATCCATCTTGGTGATCACTCTCCCCCCACGTTACCACCGCGTACATCCCCTCAACAAGTGTGTCTTATGATCTCTCACTCGTCGCTTCTTCATAGGAAGTCTGACCTGAGCATTGCTTCCAGCCTCCACAGATTTATGACTCCCGCCTGTCGCGAATATGATGTGCCTCTTGTTCACTTTGCCTCTTTTTTGTGGTGGTTGTGAACCGCTTATTTTATGTCCCTGAACAAATCATCCCCAAGAAGGCCCCCATCGTCTTTCGTGTCTAGCTTGGACTTGAGCTGGCTGAGCTCGGGGATCTTTGGGGGTGGCGGGCCTTTGGGCTTGTTTTCCGTAAGGGGTCGTACCGGTGCCGGTGCCGGTTCAGGGGAAGATGGCGAGGTAAGAAAGGGAGCCATCATACTGGCGCGCCTGTTCCTGGTGGTCGAGCTCTTGTCGCCTCCCCCCAAAATCTTGCCAAACCACCCACTGACCCGTCTCGACTTTTTGACTTCATAATTGTTGTTGCTACTCGGCGGTCGGTTGCTAGACGGCGGCCGAGGATTCATCGTCTGCTGCTGCTGCTGCTGCTGCTGTTCCTGGGTCGGCGACACTGCTGCTCCATTTTCGGCAATTGTCTCGTCGCCGTTGACGTGGGGGCTTCTCAGCTTGTGGCGACTGAGCATACGGCGGATGGTTCCATTGCGACTCGACGACGTCGTGGGTGATGTGAGGTGGTCTTCACCTGACGACTTGGTGGTTCCGGACGTGGACGACATGGGCGACGTCAGCAAGGATACATGTGGTCTGCTGGATTTTCCATTGGGTGGAGCCAGGGACCCGTTTCCACTTCCATTTGTGTTTTTTTCCTCGAGATCCTCCCCGTCTGATGTTCTCGTCGCCTCGTCCCTGATCCTCGGCGACGGTTCGGGAGGTGGGATATCGGTACCTTCGGTCAAAGGCGCAAAGCTGAAGTCAAGGGCGGGCAGCTGAAAGCGTTTAGAGGAGGCAGAGTGGCCTGTTCCGCTCGGGTCTGGCTTGGACGACATGGTGAGGATAATCAGACGATTTGATAATGGTGTCGAGCAGATGCTTGATGTATCGGCGTGGTAACGGACAATGCGAATGCAAAGTAGAAGTCAAGAGAGAAAGGGGTGATTCTAAGTACAACAACAACAAGTGATGCAGCAGTGTCGATAGAGAAGACGAGGGAGAAGGAGCGCCAGTAAAAGGAGCTACCCCCGAAGGAATGGGAAATGACGTCCAATTGGAGTACTATCTGGCTCTGAAGAGGAGAGAAGAGAGAGGAGAGAGGAGAGAGAGAGAGCGACGCGGTCCAAGCTCCTGTCCTTTCTTTCCGTCTTCCACTTCCTTCAAGTTGGCTGTCTACGCCGTCGACCCGGTGATTGTCGTAATGAGCGAGTGGATGGTAAGGACGGGAGTAATCAAGACAAACAAATGGAGGGAGAAGTTTCAACATGAAGTAAGAGAGAGAGGAAGAGATGGAAAGCGGAAGGAATGCCGTGTCGGGTCCCGGCCTGCAGTGAGCAGAGCAAGAGATGGAAAACGGGCCCAAACGAGACCGACCCCTGTAGTGCGCTGCACTGCTGCTGCAGTCGGTAGTGCGTACATAAGTAAGGTGTCATGGTGGTCCAGTGGGTTCAGTTAGCCTGGTGATCCTGGGCCCCGGGGGCGGGCACATGGCTTCTGGGCAAGACAAGTGGACTGGTTCCGGCTCTTGGTTGGCTACCTCTGGGAGAAAGGTAGGTATTTATTGGGCTGCGGGACCTGAAGGCGGTATTCCGTTGGGAAGCCAAAGCCAGAAGGAAAGTGAAAGCGCGGGAAACACAAGATCCGCGTTACCAGCGTCCAAGTGGCCAAATCGGAGGCTCTTTGCTCTCGTGTGTCTTTTGTTCTGACTGTTCCCTACAAGTGGAAGCCTTTTTCCGTCGACTGAAGTCAGGATAACCTCAGATCACCTCTAGATAACCTCATGGGAACTTGGGATCTCCCGCTGGGCAGATTGGGAAAGAAGAGGACCCAAGGCCCCAATGGCAATTTCGGCGTCAACCTGACTTGGAGAGTAATTGGGCCGGGCTGCTTGAAAGAGAGCACCACTGCCCTGAGGCCCGCGCCAGTGACCTACCTTCCAGAGTGGAGACTGTGAGCTGAGGGTGGAGACGACCTGGCGCCGCCGGCGCGGGACCCCTGAACAGGAAAAGTGTGGGGGAGCACCTCAATGAAGCGAGTGGAGCCCAACCATTTCACCAATTCACCCAAAACACCAAACATTGGATCACGATACATGTCTCACTAATACCTCATCATCATCATCATCATCATCATCGCCACCCTATATTGAATCAGATATACTCCATTCATGTACTGCGGTACACCCAGTCATATTACACCAATATTCCCGAATCTTGGCCTAATCTCATTGGCTCAGTAATGCGGAGCTTCTCGCCTTTCTCTTGCCCGTCGCTGGCACAGACTGACCAGTTGCACCCAGGATTTCCCTTTTCAACCGTTGAATGCGCTTTATGCTTGCCTGAAGTTCAGCCTCAGTGGGCCAACTCGGAGGGTTCAGGGACTTTGATTCCGCTGCTTGTTTCCCTTTCGTCGGAGGACTCGCCTTGACAGCAGCCTCCTCTTCATCCTCACCAGATGAGGACCCGATATCCACCCAAGTTTCACCATTCCCCAGGTCATGCTCGAACCTGAACATCTTAGACGGCTCCTCCAACACCGCATCGTGCTCATCCGTGCGGTCCTTGAGAAACTTCGATGAAGAGTCTCGGTCTCTCAAGTTGATACCTCCCGTGGCCCAAAAGCTGTTTGCCGGCGTTCCAACAGCTCCATAAAACGGATTGCGGCCCTCCCCCTCGTGCACTTCCCCGGCCTTCATACGCCCCGGTAACCGACCAGCCCCAAGCACGTCGCGTCGCTTCTGGCCAAGCCACATTCTATATGTGCCTGGCGCGCTGGATATATAGCATACGTTGAAGGGAAGCATGCCGCTCAGTCGACTCTCGCCCTCCAAGACAATGACTGGCACCGTATGGAATGCCCAGTCTTCCTCGCCGAACCTGAACCCCACATCCAGCTCATAAATGGCCCTCTTCACCGTCCCCTCACCGAGCTGGAGTTCCGAGGCCGTTTGCGCCGCGTATGTCTTGGGGTCGATGCCGAGAAGGGCAAGGTCTTGGGGTGTGATACATGGCAAAGTGGCGCCCGAGTCGAGGAGCAAAGACAACTCAACCACTTGAGCTTTTTCGTCAGGCTGCGCGTTGAACTCCGGCAACTTCTCCTTTGCCTTCTTCGCACGCTTGGCCCCCTTGCGCATGACTCTCTCCTTACGCGCGCGGAAATACATCTTAATGTTGTAATGACCTTGTCCATATGTATCCAGGCGCCCCATGAGCGGGTTCTCAAGACTCGTGCCTTTTTTGGCACGTAGTTTGCCTTGCGCTGCGAGGGGTGGCTCATGCCAAAGCCATCCAGGCCCATGCTCGTCAAGATACGTGTCAAGCCGAGAATCACGGTCCGTTGTGAACGAGCCGTAACCGGGACAAGTGTCGACGATACGGCCGGCCCAAATGAGCGTATACGATCTTGAATACGGAATGGCCCCGGATTCGTATCCGGCAATGGCGACTTCGATATTGACCCTTTGCGCTTCAGACTCTGTCTGCTCGAGAATCTCATGCAAAAGTTCAAGACGCCTGTTGATGGCTTCTCGATGGGTTGAAGCAAGGGTAGATCTGTGGAATTGAGTCTTGTCAGTTTGCATGATTGCTTGAACTCATGCCTTCGTGGCGAATCACTTGCCACTACTCACATTGGTTTGGTGTTCTCCTCGTCATGATCATCGAGCTCCTCCCGCTTCCTGATCTCCTCATCCAGCTGTTGCTGGAAAATGGCTGGGTTGGGAGCGTTTCTATAATGCTCGACCCGCAAGCGAGCACGCGCAATCCCTCTCTCGGCAATCTCAATGCGACTCAAGTCCTCACCTTCTACCCAGAGTTCACTTCCGTAGGCGATATCGGGCGTCCATTCACCAAACGGGGAAGCCGATGCCGCAGGAACGTTTGGACGGGCCACATGAGCGTTGCCTTGGAAGCCCGCATCATTCTGGGTTTGCATCCTGCTCATGCTACGGGTTTGAACTCCAAGGCTATAAGGCTGACCTGCCGAAGGAGGAGCTGGCTGAGGTCGATGTATGCGTCTTCCAGGCCTGAGACAGTTAGCCTGGATGTATGCTTGAAAAGAGTCGAGATACTAGAGTCCATACCTACGCCGAAGCACGCTCACAGTTCCGTCTGGCCTCGGCCGGTAAATCGGATGCCCCTCAAGCAGGCGTTGTTCATCTTCTCTGAAGGCTTGTTGCCGTTTATCCTCTGAAGAGTCCATATCGTATGATGTTGGCTAAGCTGAGGGTAACGTGGCAGTCATCAACAATCGCGATAATCACCAACAAGCTCGTAAAGTAACGGTTTCCCTTTTGAAAAGGACACCATTACCCAAGCTTAAGTTGGAGCAACAACGTTAATCAGGAAGAACCTTTTCATTCCTTCCTTTGAGAACTAGCCAGTTGTCCATTGAGATTCTGCGTGATACCTCCTATTTCCGCTGTTGTGCCCAATTGCTGGTTATGAGATTGTTCTTTGTCTCCCGGTGAGAAACAAAGACGCACAAATCCTCGAGCAGGATCATCTTTGCTTAATTCAGGGAGACAACAGAAACAGTCCGCTTTGTTCTTTATTGTCACTCCCCAATGCGGAAGCTTTGTATGCAAACGGCAAGTGTCCCTGATTGTTGCTAACTGGTCCCTTGAAGCACAAGTGCCGCCCTTCGAGAGCAACCCAGTCCCGTCTGATAGACTCAAAACATCAATCACACCCGGACAATCACCTTTCTTCCTCTTACACGCAACTCTTGTCAGCGCTTATCACAACCCAACCGCTATCTTTTCAACTTTCTCTGTTCACCGTATACTAATACACAATTTCAACGCGTTGCGCGAGTCGCAAGGCAAGGATACTACTAGACTTCGCGCGACGTTCAAGCAGATGTGGATTATCCAGAGCTGGATAAGAGATAGCGAAAAGAGAAACACGAATTGCACTCGTCAAGATGTCTGGGCCCGGCATGGAGGGGGGTCGCCCCAAGCTCCGAGGTGCTAGTGAAATGAAAAAGGCCATGGATGGTATGATTTCGTATTCAACCTCACAAACTGTTCCAGGCTAACGTAGCACACTGTCGCTAGAAAGTTTTCTTCGCTTCTTACGCGGATATGCAAGCTACTACGCCGAGTGCCCCCCTTCTTTCAAGAAGTACTTGGAGCGCCATGTTTTCCCCGCCTGCAAGGAGGCCGACAAGATCGATCAGTTGCAGCTGTTCCTCTGTAATCCCGAAATCCTGGACTACGGTCTCGGAATCGAGTTTATGGGGGAGGCTTCTCATTACACCATTTGGGATTATTGGTTTCAGGGCGCCGAAGGGTCGGTCGTGCTCCCTTTTCATCCTATCCCGGACAACTACAAGCCATGGCCCAAGGAGACAGAAAAGACAATGGAGGCCGCGTACATCATCGACGATCCGGGGCGCGCATTGTCAGCAGGGGTGCATGACATTCGCCTGGACGACCAGAAAAACGGAGCGACGATGAGTATTGTGCCGCCCGGGCCGTTTCGCTCACTACCCACTGTTCTAAGTCCAGACGGCGGAGAAGATGATATGTTTGGAGACATCCTTGGGCAGATAAAAGAGCTGGAAAAGCTTCAATTGCCTGCTGCTTATGGTCCCAGTGCCACCGCGGTAGAAGGAGGACAGCTGATCGAGCCGATTGTGGACCGCACTGGCCCGGACTGGACGGTCGACTCCGAGTACGAAGGGTTTAGACAGCCTCCGCTGGCTGTCCGGCTCGAACACGTCAACAACCTGCTTTGCGAGGAAGACATGTATCGTGATCTCAACTGGGCCCCGAAATTTGCTGAGACGGTTCGATACCTCCAATGGCTTTCTGATGAGGATCCTAAGGGGCAGCTCGCGAATGCCAGTCAACAAACCCAAAAGATGCACGCTGATGCTCTCCAAAAGGTCAGGGTGCATGAGATCTTTGACTATTACAATGCTCAGCCGACACCGTTGATCATCAACCCTCTGCCAAAGGGGAGCCTCAAGTCAACTCGCCTCAACTGGCTTGGTGATGTCCATAACTGGCCCATCCCATCGACAAATCCTGTTCCTGATAAAAGGGATCTGATGCCTCGACCGACATATCCTCGACCCGTTGAGCCTGTCAATACAATGCTCATCGACGAACCCGGCAACTATGAACTTTTTGAGGACTTCAAACACGACCAGCGAGA